TGGGCACTTCTCCAGGTTGGCACTGACATGGTAACTGGCAGCGGTTCCTCTGGGGTTCCACCCTCCAGTGGAAAAACGACTTCCTCTGTGGTCCCAGCGCCCCCTGGGTGGCTCCCCTTTGATTCTCCAGACCCTCAGATACTATCTGGATTGCCTCCCAGTACTCCATCCTCTCCAGTCTTGGCAAGGAACTCCTTGACTACTTGGCATGGTGTCTGCCTTTCTGTTTGGACCCTGGTAGATGGTGCTGCCGTTCAGAAGCCTCATTGGTCTCTGGAGAGCAGACATGGCATTAGGAGTATACAAGAGGAGCTCAGGGGTGCAATCGGTTAGCACAAGGTACTTATAAAAGAGTATGCAATAAACCCGGTAGGCTCGTTTCTTCTCGCCTGGCAGGCAAGGTCACTCAGAGAGCTCTTTTCCTGACCACCTACTTCTTGAGGTAGGTATAGTGGGAATGAAGGGACTTGGGACAGAGCTGAAGACAATAGGTCACTCTAGAGTCACAAGACACCCCCTCTCCTTCTCGAGAGGTCTTGAGCTTCACGGTTCTGAGTTTTATCATGTAGAGGGGGACAGGGGTTTTATCTGACCTGCTTCGCTGTCTGTTTGGCTCAAACACAAGGCATGGAAATGTTTTCAAAGCTGCCATGGTTGTTGCAAAACGCATTCCTGTTATTATATAAGATCTGATGGAAGGGAAATGCTTTGTTCTCTGCTTGGCACGACTGATTCTAGTCTGATCTGTGCGCTAACTATGTCATCCCAGGTAGCATGTGCAATGCAGTGCCTGGCAGGGCAAAGTGCTGTGGTCACTGTACTGGGCTCTGATTGGCAGCCTGCGGGCTTGCCAGAGCCTAGAGGGTCAGGCAACTTACCAATGTCAAGGACCCTTTGCTTGGCCGTGTGCTGCCGGGAATGCCAGTATTTCCAGTATTTCAGCTGCTCGTCTCGGTTTTTGTCTTCGCTGAAGACCACCATCACCACACTCTGCAGGAGATGACAGCCCTCACTGCCCTCTGTTCAGTGTCCCACGGCCTCACACAGCCTCCACTCCTGGCTGCTGTACCATGGGTATGTTTCTAAAATGTACCTAATTTACTGTGTAAGAAAAGTACAGAGAGGGCCAGGCACAGTGGCATCCTGACCTTTAAATCCCAGCACTTGGGAGGCAGAGGCAGGCAGATTGCTGAGTTTTAGGCCAGCCTGGTCTATAGAGTGAGTTCCAGGACAGCAAGGGCTGAACAGAGAAACCCTGCCTCAAAAAAAAGGAGGAGAAGAAGAGGAAGAAGGAGGAAGAGGAAGAAGGAGGAAGGAGGAGGAGGAGGAGGAGGAGGAGGAGGAGGAGGAGGAGGAGGAGGAAGAAGAAGAAGAAGAAGAAGAAGAAGAAGAAGAAGAAGAAGAAGAAGAAGAAGAAGAAGAAGAAGAAGAAGAAGAAGAAACCCAGAGAATAGAGACAAGCGGACGTCTCAATGAATTGAGTTTGTTGCCTGATGACCTGAATTAGACCTCAGAGACCCACAGGGTCGATGGAGAAAACCAACTCCCAAGTTATCCTTTGACAGGCACTCAGGCATGCATGTGCACACCCACACACACACATCCAAATTAGAAACAGCAAAGAGAGACAGGATCCTTTATCCTTCTTACAGAATCATCATAAACAATCAGACAAAGCAATCTGACAATCTTGTTATTTTGTGTGGTTAGCTAGAACACCAAAATGCCCTTAGTTTGCACTGAGAATAAACACGGTCTGAAACCTCTGTCTTAAAAGAAGTTGGAGCCATTTGTAAAGAAGCAGCCATCCTTCTGTCACCTAGGAAGGTGCCTCGGGCTGGAGTGGAGCAGGTAATGAGGGGATTACACAGGAAATACAGAAATGCTAGCGGACAAACCCATATTGATTAAGATTTATTAAAGCCTCAGATAATTTATAACCCCAAAGTACAAGGGCAGCTATACACCTCAATAAAACATGGCTGTTCTCTACACGAGCTAGAGAAACTAAGAATCCAAATAAGAATCCAAACCTCACTTCAGTTCCCAGTTACAAACAGCCCCCATTAAACTAAATTTATATATATTTAGTGTCATTTTCGGAATGCAGACAGCAATATCTCTGTCACAGTCTCTGGAGTGAATGAATTATGTGCATTGGTGTTTTGCATGCTTGTGTGTCTGTGAGGGTGTCAGATATTGGAGTTACAGACAGGTGTGAGCTGCCCCATGTGGGTGCTGGGAATTGAACCTGGGTCCTCTGAAAGAATGGCCTCTTAACCACTGAACCATTTCAGCCAAAATGGAACAAAAGGAGATAAAAATTTCAGTATTAATCAGTTTGGGGAGAGGGGGGGCTTGTTTTGGGGTTTTGTTTTGTTTTGTTGGCTTTTTGAGACAGGGTTTCTCTGTGGAACAGCTCTGCCTATCCTGGAACTCGAACTTGAAATTTCAGAGATCCACCTGCCTCTGCCTGCCCAGTGCGGGGATTAAAGGCGTGCGACATCAAACCCAGCATAAAATTTTCATATTGATGGACTTCTATGATCCCAACAAAGTGAAACAGTTGGGAAAGTCTAAACCATTGTCCCATCCTTAAATGGCTGCCACCTTTTCAGAGTGCACGATTAAACTCTTACCTAGGATTTAAGATATTTTAAAAGAAAGACAAATGCATCCCTGGTATTCTTCCCAGACGCCCCATGTCTAGATGGAGACCCCTGGGGGAAACATCTCTGCTTTTCATCCCTTCCGGAAGCTCCATGGATGGAGCAGTTTCTAGTTGTAGTTGGTTTTCTTGATGGTGCAGGGAATGGAGCCCAAAGCCTCACACGGACTAGGACTGACTAGACAACCCCAGCACAATGCAACACCCTTATGCTTAGAAGAGCTAGAGTCAGGAAGCTGGTACCTGTGCCCAGGGTCTGCCCATCTTAACGGCCGACACTGGTTAGCTTCTGAAAGCCAAGTTTTCTTATTATTACAATGTAATATTACAGTGTATGGTACAGTGTTGGAGGTTGCTTTTTACTCTTTGGTACTTTTGGGGGTCTTTTGAGGGATCCACCACCCAGATCCCAAATAAATCACACAGGAGTCTTCTTATTACTTATGAATGCCCGGCCTTGTTTGGCTTGTTTCTTGCAAGCTTTTCTTAAATTAACTCATCTACCTTTTCCCTCTGGGCTTTCATCTTTTTTACTTCTGTATTTCTTACTTTCACTCTTACTCTGTGGCTGACTACGTAGCTGGGTGGCTGCCCCTGGTTCTCCTCCCCTTGTTCTTTCATTGGTCCTCCTCTTCATCATTTCTCCTTCTATTTATCCTCTCTGCCTGTCAGCCCCGCCTATCCTTGCTCCTGCCTCACTATTGACCAATCAGCTCTTTATTAGACCATCAGGTGTTTTAGACAAAAAAAATCACAGCTTCACCATGTTAAACAAATGCAGCATAGACAAAAATCACACAGCTTAAAATAATATT